ATAATCAACTTGACAGTAAGTACCACATATAGTACATTCCAACAGCAATATATACGAGAAAATATTTGGACTACCGATGGAATCTCCACTCTCAACTATTTTGGACAAATTGGTGAATGAATTCGAGATTCTCAATTTTATAAACCAAATTGATGGAAGACTTCAATTCACAATGTGGGTGGAGGAGGATAAACAACTAACCTTCTTGCAAGTTGAGGTCATTAACTCCAACGGAATACTCAAAAGGAGAATCTTCAGAAGGAAATCACATGCCGGAATAATTTTCAATTTCCAGTCTCACCACAACTACAGAATAAACTTCGGGCTAATGAGGAGTATGATCCTCAGTAGCTTAAGCCTAACAGACACTATTTTCTGGAAAGAGGAGTTGGAGAATCTGACTCGGATGGGCCTTACTAACAAACCCCATAGAAACCATGGAAAGAAATATAGCAGTCGTGATGAGCGGATTTCAACTAGGATTTATTGAAAATATTATCAGGAATCGGGAGGATGGCCTAAAGTGGATATGCCTGCTCTCCTGTGAACTGAGCCAAAAATTGCGATAGTGCTAAGAAAATGTAATATAAAGATGAAAACAGAACAAAAGACAACACTCTTCACTCGCCTGCCGACACAACACGAGAAGGATGGCAAACTAGATTACTCGAGAGTTTATATGATCAAATGCGGCAACTGTGAGCAGAAGTATATTGGTGAAATATGGAGAAAAATCAGCCTAAGAATCAAAGAGCATCAAAGACTCCGCAGAAACATGGATACTGGAAGATCCGAAATAGTGGAACGCATCACATTGACGGGACAAGAAACCGGGTGGAAACCGACAGAAGAGTTGGCTGCATAGGGTAAAAATAGAAGCAAACGCAAGATACCAGAAGCCATCGATATCCTGTCCAAAATAAATCTAATGAACTGGTGACTTGAAGAAGGCAGGATTAGCAAAATCTTTGCATACTGCTATGACTCGGATAAGATCAGGGAGCAGTAATACCAGCAAAAAGATGGCTGGACAAAGTTAATATTTTTATGAGATGTATTCACCCAATTTCGTTCAAGGCGATGAAAGACTCGTAGAAGAATTTTCCCATCTTAAACGAAATTGGGTGAATACATCTCATATTACTGATTTACTGGTAGTCTCGAAGCCATAATTAAATGCGAAAAATTAATATTTTTACTTTTAGGCAAGGAAACTACAAGTAGACCAGATAGGGACAATAGAAAACCTAGAGGATAGCCTATTCAAATCAAGTAGAACTATCAAGTTTGAGGATCGACAGGCAAGAAACTTGGGTATAAGAAAGTCACAGACTTGAGTTTAGGGATGGAAGAGCGAGAGAAACGGTGGTGGCCACTTATAGTTGGCAATTAGTAGATAAATATGAGATGTATTCACCCTATTTCGCTTAAGGTGATGAAGGACCGATAGTAGAATTTTTCCATAATGATACGAGTAGAGCTGACGTGTGAGCTTGATATGTTAACCACTCGCCCATATTGCCAATGGTGTACTTGGGTCACAGGGCAGATGTGAATTTAAGAAAGGCCGGGCCTTTACCTATATCACATTCTTTTGTGGGATTTTCGGTGGTTCAAACTTAATTTTTCTATAACAATCGACCACATTACTTAATTTTCGTTTATAAGTAGACTCTCGAGATTGCCATTAAATCAGTTATATGAGTTGCAGTCGATTGTTATAGCAAAATACTTTCGCTTCATCGACAATCCAACCACGGAATATGATTTGGGCAAAGGCCCCGTGACCCAAGGGCATTCATTGCAATGTGGTCGAGTGGCTAACGTGTCCAGTTAACGTGTCCACAGTCTGCACTGTCACGGTTCCACTCCCGCTGGGGGTGTTGATAAAACTTAGGCTAGGTCAAAATTGCAGTCCACCTTGAATGAGAACAACTTATGGGAAAACAAGGGTATATGAAAGTCAATGGAAATGTCAGCGAAAATTCTACTACCAGTCCTTTATTACCTTGAACTAAATTGGGTGAATACATCTCATATTACTGATTTACTGATGTCTGGAAGCTCTACTTACATGGGACATAGTAGTATGTAAGTTTGCTTATAGACGTGGTCCTTGAAGTAAATGTTTGACCACAGGATTAAATCGGTGCACATACCGCACAATGTGGTTAGGTTGTCATGACAATTGAGAATCCTGACCTTAAGGGCTCAGTGAGGCTGTGGTATACGTGCCATCAAGGGATTGAGGCAGAGTGTAGAACATAACGCCTTCAGTAACACGGATACGGTGGCAACGATGGAGCGAATCATTGAAACAATCAGATAGGACAAGGTTCCTACAAAGCAAGATAGAGATTCTGGTAAGATTATAAGTTTGAGGATTTCGAATTGAACGGTAGCCTCGGCTCAACACTTCCGCTACAGTGGGAGAAATGTGGAAACCAGAGGGGAGTGTGAATAAGTTTCAAATTGGGTTAGAAGTGATACGAGGATATAGGATAGGTTAATAGATAATGACAGAAGGACAATTGATCACTTGTCTCTGACACATTCTAGTGTTGTGTTAAGAAGGCTCACTGAAGATGCCAACTACGATGCTGGATGTACCAATTCCACGGTCCGACTCTGTAAATTGTCATGCCCTCCGGACAAGGTGAGTTCCTCTAGGTCTTCCTGTCAATATGACCAATTTACAAAAACAAGGCCAAGCAACTGTTATACAAAGAAAAGAGACCACGACTATACACGATCTTCGTGCAAACTTTTTTTAATTTAAAAATGCTTGCATCCTTTCAAAGCGGCAGGAATAAGCATGTAAGAATTGCTCGTTTTTTTTAAAAGGACTAATTTAAACTTATCAGTAGTATCACACATTAACGTTTAATTATTTGCCTCCAGTGATGTTCTAGCAAATAGTTTTTGCACATATAGTATAGTTTATGGTATAGTTTACCTGGCATTAGCAACAAAAAAGCTAAGATATTCTGACTGGATAAGGATTAAGGTAAAAAACCTCAAAAGTCAACGGTCTAAATCGTAGGAAGTGAGCTCAAAAAATAATGCAGTCTTTCAGAGGCTTCTTAAATTCCCTGACCAAAGTCGTTTAATACTTAACTCCCAGTCTAGAGAAGTCTTGACACGTTAGCTTGATGATTTCCATCATACATCGGACGAAAACTCAACACGTTTTTATCGGAATTTAATGAGTTTACCTCAGAAACGGCGTCATTTAGAATGTTCGAGTAAGTTCAATCAAAAGCTGGTCAAGTGGAACCCGCCGTCGTCTTCTGGTGGGATTGGCCTTCGAATTGCTTCACCAAACACTTTCACTCGAAATGGAAGCAGGGTCTACAATTATGAAACCTTTCTTCGCATAATGAAGTCTAGTCTGTCGTCTCTTTAAATTGCACACTAAAATGCTTGATGGAATTAAATTATATGAGGCTTTGATGAGAATATTCATAGGTTCCAATAGAGAGGGTATCATGCCTTTGCACTTATTGCCTACCAGCAAAACGGTATTCGACATAAATTTATCTCTCTCTTCGGCAGGTTGCACTTTGTGTAATGAATCCTTTTGGCGATGACGACGAAGATTTCCAGACTTCCGACACCCTCGACTACAATCTGGAGGTGAGCTACCGCTGTGCTTTTATGGACGAAAACAGTTTCCCAAGTAGGCTTTCACGTACTGAAAAAGAGCCTACAGAAGAAGCGGATGATGAAAATGAGGGGCAGTTGCCGAAATTTCTTGAGGAAATCGATCAAGAATTGAGCGAATTGGTAATCGAAAGGTCAACCAGCGAGTGAGTCTATCATTTCCGTGAACTTCTAAAAGAAGATTTAGTGACCAATTCTTTTTTCTCAGGCATAATAGTTTGCTCCAACCTTCAATAAGTCAAGAATATTCTTTCCACTGAGCGAGGCTGAAAGGGAACTACATTCTAAAAGGAGCTCGACCCCTTTTTGAGGCGATGAAAGTTTAATTTCAACTACCAAATCCAGCTTCAGTTAACTCGAGCTTGGATTGCTTCTAGAAAGCCCACAATGGAGATATATTTTCTTAACTCCATTTAATAAGGCTTTCGATCGAGATAATACTACGATTAGAGTATCATGAACATAGAGACATACAGTTATTCTAATAATTTTTTACTGTGTTGATATGAATTTAGCGAGGCAACTAAAGCTATGAGGCTGTTGGATGCATGAATTGTAAGTCTGAGAAAGAGAGACAGACTTGTTCCAGGTCGCGGCACTCCTAAGGAGACAATGAGACATGAGAACAGTCAAAACCTCATTCTAACTTTGGCGAGTGGATACTACTTAAATCTACTGAAGAGTTAAATGTCACGCAGCGGTAGCTAACTCGAGGAGCAGTCCACAAGCATTAATTGTTAATCAGTATTACTCATTAATTTCGAAAGAAATCTACCATTATCGTTTAACATACAACCGAATTTCACTGTCTATCTCAAGCGCTATTTGGTGATGATCACGCCACTCCTTCTAAAGAGAAGCTGATATCACGGATTATAGAATAAGAGGCATTAATTACTAAAAGACCAGGAAATCTCCTAAGATCCTATTTATAGTTTTAGTGATACTGATCCAAAAATGTATTTTATATTACTCTCGAAGATGTTACTTTTGTTCGGAATGAGTATGTTTCGAAAACACCAGCAATTCTTGAATAAGAGTTCTAGTCACTATAGGCTGTATAAGATGATTTAAGAAGTGATAGTAGAGTTATTCACGCAGTGGGTTGACGAGTTGCCTTTATTCTATAATATAATATAATCATACCCCTTTTTAGATTGAGTAACTGACTTCACACTTAATTGAAATCAACAAAAAAAGGAAATAAGAGGCATTACTTAGAAAGTTTGCAAATTACTTTATGAAATGATATGTCTTCCCGTCTTCGAGACTGGATTTAATAGGATGCCTACTTTAATAAGATTATCTTAAATTATCAGTTGTTATCTACAGGAATCAAGAAACTGAGAGAGAAGAGATGCCATAAGGGAAAGAGAACCTCCGGTCGGTTGATAATTTAGATTGAGAAGGTCGATCAATCTGTGATAAAAATGACTAAAGTTCTTTCTTCTCATCCCAGTTAATTGAGTCATGGACCTTACAAGCCTGTACTTATTCAGACAAGACCATGAACTGAAACTTGCCCTGTTCAATCCATGACACTGGAAAGTGTCCTAATTTGAAACGGTCCAAGTTGGGCCGAAGGTAGTGAGCGTGACAACGGAGCTCGTTAGAGATGAACACTTAGGACTATCTTGAATAGAACTCACAAGTGGGAAACATGTTGAAGTAAAGCTCTATCGAAGAAACATTAAAATAAATTTATATAAAGTAGGTTTTTGAGTCTATCCGTTGGTCTAGTTCGCCTTAGGTAAGTGCTAAAACTGTTTTTTTCCTACAATAAGATGAGTACTTAGATTTAATTATCGGAGGACAGAAAATAGTCAACCCAATGTGCGAATAACTCCACAGTCAACCCTTAAATCACTTTATGCAACCTATAGTGATTGAATTACTGATAGCCTCTAAAACAAACTTTTTGTATATAAGTGATTCAATCTAGTTTATTGTCAAAATGCAAGTTCTCCTAGTCAAAAGTCCTTCTAGAAATGGGATGTTGGAGAGGTCATTTCGTCCCAGAAATTGAACTCTGCCTTGTGGCCCACGAGCCCTCATGGGAGTATGGCGTTGAAATAACTTGTCGAAATTATAGACCTCACTATCCAGATTCACTTAGTGTTTAGGGTGC